AGATACCTGACAACTGTAACAGACAAACTTCAGTGATAAACTCTAAATTTCTTGTGCCATATGGGATTATATCATAGAATGGTTTGGGTTGGAAAGGACCTTAAAGATCATCCAGTTCCAAACCCCCTGCCAGCAGCAGGGACACCTTCCACTAGACCAGGTTGCTCAAAGCCTCATCCAACCTGGCCGCAAACACTTCCAGGGAGGAGCAGCCACAGCTTCTCTGGGCAACCTGTTCCAGTGTCTGACCACCCTCACGGTGAAGAACTTCTTCCTAATATCTAATCTAAACCTCCCCTCTTTCAGCTTAAACCCATTTCCCCTTGTTTTGTCATTAATTGCCCTTTTGAGAAGTCCTTCCCCAGCTTTCTTGTAGGGTTGAGTTGCGTTTGTGGTGTGGGAGGGAGGTGTTTTTGGTAGTGGGGGAAGGGGCTACAGTGATGGCCCTTGTATGAAGCTTCGTGAAGGTCTCCTGGCTCCAAGGCAGATCCACCTCCAACCCAGGCTGAGCCAATTAGTGATAGGGAAACTGCTCTGCGAATCCATATTTATGCAGGGAAGAATGGTTTTGACAAGGAAGGAGAGAGCCATCAGGAGAGACCATTGACTTGGACAAAAAGACCATCAATGACAGGTATCTTCAATTTTTTTCCCCTTCATTTTCCAGTACATCAGAGTATTTCTGTAGGTATCATGACAGTGGCAAGTCTCCAAACAAGTCCAACCAGCTTTGTTAGTTAAATTTCAGTTGAACTTTTTTTCCAATCTCTCTCCCAAGAAGTGCTACCAAAGAGGAGGAGGGGAGGAGACAGAGAACCTCAGACACTCAGATCAGCACAGAGAAGAGCAGGGGGAGGTAAAGGAGGACTCCTGCATGGAGGAGTCAATGGCAGAGCAGATATCCACATGTAGGCCATGGAGGACTCCATGCTGAGGCAGGATGCTGTGCCTGAGGGCAGCTGTGACTATGTGGAGAGCTCGTGGTGAGCAAGGAGACCCCAGAGATGCTCAACACTGGAGCATGGAGCGGAGATGCACTGGACCAGAGACCCATCTGCAGCCCGTGGTGTCCCCATGCCGGAGCTGGGAGCTGAGCCCAAAGAGGTCCGTGACTCCATGGGAAGTTGTATTGCCACACTTTGTTCCTGAGCTTTTAGCCCACCAGAGGAACCTCATGCTGGAAAGAGCTGCATAGCCAAACTGACTGGAACCCCCATGCCCTGTCCCCTGTGCTGCTGAGGGGCAGAAGGTAGAGAAACGGTAGAGAAGGGAGAGAAACTATCACAGGGAGCAAAGTGATTTGAGCCCAGGAAGAAGGGAGGGGTGGGGAAGGTGTTGTTGATGTGGTTGTTATGTCTCACTGTCCTACTCTGATGATTGCTAACAAATTAAATTGATTTTTCTCCCTCAAGTTGAGTCTGTTTTGCCTGTGACCATCACTGGTGAGTGACCCTCCCTGTCCTCATTTCAACTCACAAGCCCTTTGTTGTGTTTCTCTTCCCATCTCACCGGGTTGGGGGAGGAGTGAATGCAGGACCTCATGGTCCTACCTGTGGGTGAAACCACCACACATGTGTAGTCCACGAGGGCTTACTCATGACAAAATGTTACTTGTGGAAATGAAGAAGCCTTTCTCTAGAACATATAAATGACATTTTATCCTATGTATTTATAAAAAACACAATAAACCCAATGACTCCTTTATCACTTAGAGGGACCTAGAAGAGAGAGGCACTATCTTTTACATCACACAATCAGTTTGTAACAAGATTGGAAAGATAAGATGTTATGATGATAAAGACAGGCTGTGCTTACATGCACAGTAATCACATACCTATTAATTCAGTTTGTTTCCCCTCCTATCACCTCGTCAAGACTAAAACACTGAAGTCTTGTTATGACCAAGCTCCCTGTAATATTGCTTTCTTTGCTGACTGAAGCAGGAACTCGAGCAACAGCCTAAATATCTGCAAGTCTTGAATTGTTCTTTTTCCTGTTAAAGACTTGGATGAAGACAGAGACTTAAAATTACTTAAAAAAAAAAACCCACTTGAGGATGAACATTAAATATTGGCAGATGTGTTTAGTTTGATCCACACTCAAAATGTTCAGTGGTTACTGGATTATCAACCTGGTTTAGACCCAAGCAAAAAAATTAAATATTGAAAACACTTTTCCCTGAGTAATAGAATAATGTTTGTGATGTAGCCTGGTGTGTTGGCTTGTTGCTCTGATAAAGACTACTGAGAAAACAAACAAACCAAACAAAAAAAAGTTTAAATTACAAAATTCAAGTAGCCAAGGAAATTACTGACTAAACTGAATAGCAAGCTAGATTCAGGCATTTGAGCAATTTTCAAAATTCCAGTAAGTAATCCTTTGGACTGTTGAGCACAAAATTTAAAAAAAAGAAAATAAAAAACCCCAAACCCCTAGTTTATATTCTTCTTTTCCATTGAGCCTTGTGAAATGGAGGTGGAAGTGTTTTACTGCAATCTTTACTAGGAATATTAAAAATTAAAATAAAACCAAATTTTCCTCATTCAACTAAAATAAATTAAAAAAAAAGAAAAAAAGGTTGATAAGCACTTTCTGTGTGAAGATTTCTGTGTGAAGATACCTCTAGTTAGAATTTCACCCTTATTTTCTACTCAACTTTTCAACCATGCCTGACTGGTTCTGATGAGCTGAGCTGCACTGCTCAGGTCAAACCTGTAGGCAATCAACAAGATAACATCTTCCTCCTGAGCTACAGCTTCTTGTCAGCTACAATTTACTTAGCAATTCACCTGCTGTGCTGGCTGCCACTCTGGAAGGAATTAAAATTCTGTTAATTAGCTTCCTGTAAAGGAAGTAACAATTAAACAATGCCAGTGTCCAGCCAGTGCACCCTTCTAATTTCCCCAAAGTATTGGAATAATTTGGTTCATTTCAACCAACATTTCAGGATTTCAAGGATATTAAATTCCCAGAACCTTAGGAAAAAGAAAATAATAAAAAAAAATCAGGGAACTGGGTGGAGACAAAATACTTAAAAGAACACACTACTGGAGGGAAACTTGCCATCTGAGTTATCTGTTATGCCAAACCCCGTGGCAAGCAGGATGGGGAACAGACATGCATGTGCTTTAGAGGCAGCCAGAGCTCATCTTGCCTGTAGGAGAGGGAGAAACTGGCAACACTCAGGAGAAAAACAAAGTGCCTGTAGGGACCATAAGGCAAAAGCTGGTGCTGCTGAAGTGTGTGAGCAGGGGAAAAGTGGTAGGTATGGATCCACAGGAAGCCAGGTCTGATAGTTCTGCTGTTACAGGACACCTTGGCTAAGCACAGGAGTGGCTCAGACTAGCTGAGATCAGTTATTCAACTTCAGGGTTCACACTTTGACAACTACCAGGTCCTTCTAAATCTGTAGATCTTTCTCAGAAGGGCATTGTCAGCTGTGGAATAATTGGTCCCCTGCAAGTTTGTTCAAGTCACTTTACAAATCAAAGTCTCAGACAATGCTACATATTTTGATGTTGTAGTACTGACATTCTCCTCATCCATTTCAATTTCTGAAATCAGGAGCCTTCCACTAATGAAAAGGAAACAGATTTCAGAAGATAAAGGATTTTTTTGGGGATAACTTCAGAAATAAATGTACATTCTACAAAAGATCTGAGAGATACAATGTGTGTGTGTAACATATGGAAAAAAAATTGAAAATTGCTTTATCCTGCCTTCATGCTCCCATCAGAGGAAAGGAAAAATTGTCTTTTCCTCTTTGCAAATGTTATCAGCAACACACTTGACTTACACAACCTGTGCTTAGAGCAAATTAAAATAAATCTGCTCACTCCAAACCACAGACACAAAGCTCCATGCATATTAGAAGTATCCCCGAAAGTTGACAGTGAAAGCTGGGGGCTATGCTCCCCTGGGACAGCAATTACCCAGCACAGGGTTGTGCTGAACACCTCAGTCCTTGCCTCTAGACCCACACAACGTGCTCAAGCACCAGAGAGCATGAAGTTCATTCCTAATTCTTACCCAGTAGCACTGATGCCCAGAATACACAAAGCAGCTTGAAATTATTTTGCCTCCTTCACTGATGAAAGTATTCAACAAAAGCATTTCAATTGCACAGTACTTGTTTTTCTGGGTCACTCCTGCTAACACACACGTTTGTACGCACAGTTTAGAACTCTTAAATTGTGAAGTACATGTAAATTTCTATAATTAGAATAAAATCATGTAATTTTACACAACAGTTGCCAAATCGGTTGCTGATGTCTTTCACTTTCTGCCCTGCTGGTTACAGCTGTCAGGCAGCCAGTTCTAACGAGCATAATGAAGAGGGGCCCAGTGAGGCTGAGAAATTCTCCTTTGTTAAGAGATACTCAAAGTTTAGCTGGTCAAGGTCCTGAGCAACCTGCTCTAAATGGACACAGGTTTGAGGAGGACAGACCAGATGATCTCTGGAGGTGCCTTCCAACCTACATTCTTCTATGATTCTGTGATAACCAAACTGCTCCTGTCAGAAACCAAGCAAGCAACCCTCAAAATTTCTCTTGAACTAGGTACAACTCCTTCCTTCATATACCTGCAGTTAAACAGCTCCCAGAGGAACTCACAGCCAACTCTATCAGCTATGTTTGTCAACAAATCCACCAAGCCATCTGTCACTAGGGCATACAGCAGCAGATCCACTACCAGGAGATTGGGTTTCGTTTTGCCCTCGACTCAACCGTGGGTGGGTGTTTGCTGCTACATCTGTGTATTGATGTTTGGAGCAGTTTTCACTTCTAACAAGCACTTGGAGGAACAAAGCTGGGGATCTGTAGTTGAAATAACCGAGTATTAACTGTAATTCAAACAAAATGGAGCAATAAAAAAAAACCAAAACAAATTAAAAATGTATGCAATAGTAATGAGTTCTGCTGATCACAGGACTTACATAGAAGCAATCTCAAAGACAAACTTGGTTCAAAATTTCCATCTATAAATACAACCAATCCCACCTGTCGTTCTTCCTCGAGATGTAGCCTCTCCTCTTCTTTCCGCCTTTCCTCCTCTCTTTTTGACTCAAGTTTTTTCCGTTCTTCTCGTTCTGCTTCTTCAGCCTAAAAAAAAAAGAAAACCCAAAACATTATGCAAGCCAAGCCTTACTCTTCCTGAATATACATTTTTAAATTTCATACTGTGATACCATGCGGGAGTTTCTTACTATCTTCCTAGATGAAACAGTAAAGAGAATAAGAAAGAAAAGTCATTATCATTTAACTCCCTCCACCCCAATCTTCAGCGTACTTAATATTGTGCTAAGTTTAGAAATTACCCTTCTCACTTGCATTATCTGTATCTCAATAAGGGTCTAAGCTTGGCAAATGCATATGAGCTTATTACCATAGTGATATTAAGTAATATATGTCATGGCATTCCATTTCTCCTCACTTAAAATCTAGTTAGAATGGACTTTTTTAAAATTGGTTCTTCAGTCTCTTTAGTATACTTCAGTTTGAAAACATATTAAGAGGACAAGCAGAAGACATTCAAATGGAGGATTTGTGGCTTTGAATGTTTCAGCAAAAAAGAACCTAACCAAGGAATTTATCTGTCTACACGGGAAAATAAAAATCAGCATATTTTAAAATGAAACAAAAGATTCCTCACTCCACCAACTGATGCTTATCTAGCTTCAGTCAACTTTGCTCAGATTTTCCATGAAAAAAAAGAGGCTAATTAAATAGAATGAATATGGAAAGTAATGACAAGATGGCTAAAGCATAGAGTGAGAAAAGGGTCGTAATGGAAGTTTATATTAAAAATAATAATCAAGTTTAATACCAACCACCCTAACTACAGAGCATGCTACTAGAGTGTAAAGCAGAAATTTGATTTAAACCTCTGGTGACACTAAAATTCTCAAGATAGGATTTCACCAGCTTTCATTTGGACCCTCTACACATTAGAAATGTTAGTAGCTTCATAAACCCTGTCTGTTTATAAAATGTGTGAACTCCACCATGACTCCAGCTTCTGTTATGCAAAGGTTGTTTAAGTTTTATCTACTTTTTGCAACCCCACCTTTCAAGTTACAGAACAACACAGAGTTTGCAAAAAAAATACACAAAACAACTAAAAGGAATTAATGCATCACCTGCTCCATCCATGAGCATGCTTCAGAAAGTGAGTTTTAAAAAGCTTGTTGCTTCCCTGGAATTAACAGCAACATGCTGGGCAAAACTGAAAAAATGCAACAGCATTTCAATAAGTACTTTTTCATGCAGATTTAAGAAAAAAAACAATTGAAAAGCTACAGTGTGTTTGTTCTGCATATTTGGTCTCTGTTTAAGGGCCAAACTTCAACCAAAATCTGACTGCATCATAGATTTCAGTGGATTACAGAGTCTGCTTTTCATCTCCCCCAATCCCTAAAAACAATAAACATGGCTAAACATAGATAAACCCAAAGTTTTTGCACTGTGAGAGCACACAAAACAGAACTGCCCACAGTTTTGGTTACAGACCCAATGTTACAACAATTCTGTGTGGGCTTGAGTTTATTTTTAAGGGGAGACATGACTGACATTAAAGCTACAACTCAGTGGAAACATCCAATAAAGAACATTCAGGAGTTTAACTCCACTCTCCTCCCCAGGAGAATGCCAGAGAACCTAATGGAAAGAAAACTAGACACCGTTTTTCTCTTGGGATACAACATAAAAAGCTGAATTTACATTTCTAAAACCAAAAAGACAACTGTTGTGGGGATGACACTGGCTTTGCCTTTCTGGGGTGTCAGTTCTTTGCTGAGTACTGCTATTCAGGCTCTGCTCTGGGCTCTATACGTGGCAGGAAATGCTTACCTCTCTCTGTGCTTTTCTGGCTTGTTTCTCTTCTAATTTCCTCTGCTTCTTTGCTCCAATTTTCCCAGACACCTGAAATTCTGGCACTTCCTCAGCATCGTCTTCCTCTACAACATGGAGTAAAAGACAAATTTTAAATTGTCTGTAAAAAGTCCCTTTGAGAAATTTCACTGCTTCTTGGGAAAGCAGCAGCAGATGAAAAGGAGACACACACACATTTCAGACAAGACCTGTTAGATGGAAAAAGGCAAAAAAAAAAAACCAAACAAAAAAATCACACGAGACTGCCAAAGCCACAGAGTAGAAGTAACGAGGCAAACACAGACTCAAGTGAAGTCAGAAGTCAAAATTGATTTGATCTTTTGAAGGAAGGCTTTTCATAAACATTTCCTGCTTTCCACAATTAAAAGATAGACTTTCTCTTATACATAAAATGTGCTAATGATTGTTACTCTATAACTGCTTAACACCCACCTGCAGAGACTTTCTTCCCAGTTACCTTGAAGCTTAGCACAACGGACATCCATTCAAAAGTGGGATTCAGAGGCATCCACTCATTGACTATTTCTAGCCTGATAAAACTAGCCTTGGAGTGTGTGGGGGGGGAGAGGGGGGAAAGAAATCCCTATAATGCAAATTATAGGCTCAATTGCAACAAAACTACCTGTAAATAGTTCTCTGTGGTACAACAATTGGCTGTTTCTAAAGATGATTTCTGCAACTGTGGAATATGAAAGCGTCATGCTCAAATGGTGTGCAAATGCATTATATTTCTGCTCACAAGAGTTAAAGACTGCCATTTCCTTCCTCCCCCCCCAAAATGTCTCAAGAACATTTGGCCATTTTATTTGCTAATCTAAATCACAGAATCACAGAATGTCAGGGATTGGAAGGGACCTCATAAGATCATCCAGTCCAATCCCCCTGCCAGAGCAGGAACCTAAATGAGATCACACAGGAAGGCGTCCAGGCGGGTCTTGAATGTCTCCAGAGAAGGAGATTCCACAACCTCCCTGGGCAGCCTAAATGAGTCCTTGATCCTACAAAGTAACTACAGTGGATTGACCTCAACACTCCAAGAGAAATCATGAGCTCACTTCATGAAACACCACACAATATATACAGATTCACGTGTCTGAATCAGATGGCTGAACCAAAGTGAAAGATATTTATCACACGGATCCCTTTTTTGGGTAAAGTAATTTATACTTTGAGTATCCACAGTGCTGTTATGCTTGATGCTGACTTCAGATCCACTTGAAATCCCCTGGGTAATCTGAAGAACGGCACTGCCAGCTCCTGCGATTTTCCTGACATGGAGTGTTAATTTAGGGAGGGAGAAGAGGAAGAGTGTGCAGGGGAAGGTCTTCTTCAGTTACATTTTAGTTCTCATCATTGGGGGGGAAAAAAACAATTCCCCACTCACACAACTCCTGAGCCCTTGGTTTCTTGTACTGGGCACTGCTGAGGCCGCAGCTGGAGTGCTGGGTTCAGTGTTGGGCCCCTGAGTCCAAGAAGGACATGGAGGTGCTGGAGTGTGTCCAGAGAAGGGCAATGGAGCTGGGGAAGGGTCTGGAGCACAAGTGTGCTGAGTTCCCTTGTGGCTGAGGGAACTGGGGGTGTTGAGCCTGGAAAAAAGGAGGCTGAGGGGAGACCTTGTGTCTCTGTCCAAGTCCCTTGGAGGAGGGTGGAGAGAGGTGGGGGTGGGTCTGTTCAACCAAGAACCAAGGGACAGGACAAGAGGAAATGGCCTCAAGTTGCACCAAGGGCAGTTGAGATGGGATGTGAGGAAGAATTTCTTTGCTGCAAGTGTTGTCAGGCATTGGAAGGGGTTGGCCAGGGCAGTGGTGGAGTCCCCATCCCTGGAGGGATTGAAGAGTGGTGTAGACACAGTGCTGAGGGACATGTGTTAGTCATAGGGGACTTGTCAGTGTTGGGTTAATGATTGGACTGGATGATCCTAAAGGTCTTTTCCACTCGAGGCAATTCTGTGATTCTAAGAACAGGCTAACAAGAAGAAAAAGCCCATCGTGTTTGATCATGGGTTTCATGAGAACCTGCAGCAGCTGTTCCTGGAGCTGACTGTACTGCGAAAATCACCAGAATTGTTTGGTAGGGCTGTCAGCAGGATGTTTTCTGTAGGGTGCTCTCTGTGAAAGCCTGATCCCCTTTTTTGGGAACCCAAAAAAGCTGCTGTTAAAGGATCATATGAATGAACAAGATTGACCCTTCTTTTATATGCAGAATTAGGTTTGAAACACTCTTGTTTTACTAATTCCAATACACAGTACAGTACTATGGTTAAGCCACGGAGACACATCACCAGAAACAAATATAATTGAGAGTTGTGTAGGTGGCTCTCAAATAACTTAGCTGTTTTTAGGATATGGAAGTTAATATGAGGCAGGCTTGCTGAACTGGGCTTCAGAGAATGACTGGTATCTGCTGACTGAGATGATCAAAAGGGTTCCCCCTTCCTACACCACAAAGAGAGCAACAGGGGACACTTGGACTTGACATAGTTGCATCTACAATTTTACTGAAGCTTAAAATAAATTGATTTTTTTTAAGGGGTGTTCCAAACACAATGGGTGAGCAACCCAGCGTTAGCAGTTATTACACCAAGATTAACAGCTCACTACTGGTATTATTCTTTAGAAAATTATTCCTGGAAAACACCAAAAGTATAAAGCACCATCTATGACACTATTCAACCTGGGGCTCTGAGTGCTTCTCATCTATATTAAGAGTACCTGAGCCTGAGGTCAGGCAGAAGTCTAGCAAAGCTTTTAAAGCCTTTTTTTCCAGTGCTGGATCAAACATGCCTTTGTTCAGTAGCATTTGCTTTCCTCTCGTTTGAAGCATCTGATGTGATCCCTTAAGTACCACTTCCTCCAAGCGTTTTCTAGCGCGTGAAGCTACATCCAACAAAAGACACAGACAGAGATGCAGACGCAGCCCATGATTCAGCAGAGCACTGAAGGTCAACAGTGCACTAAACCTGGGTGCAATTAGTATGTGCTAAATAAACCTGAACACGCTGAGAAGAATATAAGCACATGGTAAAAAAATCTGCTGAATCAAGTGGTTATTATAGCAGAATACCTGCACCAAAAGCAGAGTGGATGCTGCACACAGCCAGAGATATATTTTTTGTTTGTTTGTTTCTTTTTTATATAAAGAAGCTATCATTTAAGCAGCTTTTAACAATAATTTTTCACATAATAGTTGCCAACACTAATAGACCTGACAGAGGGTCAGTCCATGCCTCCATCTGCCCCCTGTGCTTCCGACGCGGTGCAAGATGTTAATTGTGCTCACTTGTTTATCGTCACCTTTATTATCAAGCACTAGGGTTGGCCAGCCTGCCTACCTACTTGGTTGGGAAACCTAACAACATCAGAAAGCATCATATAGCTGAAGTTGAAAATGTATTTGTGTTTAAAGGCTGATCTTTTATGGTTCTCTGTACGATATTTTAAAACATGGCAGTTCTGGGATGGATCTAGGGTTGTGGCAGGAAAAGGAGAGAAGTTTAGTGCTCCAAACTTGACACAAGCAGTTTTTCCATAGTGACTTTCCCTAACTGCTCACAGTACCACAGGACACCAAAGTCTTGTTCTCACTTCACGATATGGAGCTGATAAAGAACACCAAACCTCAAAGCACACAGGACCCTCTTCACCTGAACTGCGTGGATGTGATGTGATGGGGCTGCTTTCAGCCAGTCACAACCCTACCAGCATGTCCTGCTCCACCTTTACAGAGACAAACAGAACTATACCAGCATTTCCAGAGCTTGTGGAGCATTCCCACCACCTTCCAGCTCTAAGAGACAGGAAGCAGAAATAGTTTGATGTTTTCACACCACTTTACATATTCTACTTTACACAAACATGGGTTTTGCTGAGCAAGCCAGCTGAGAGGGAGCTTCAGAGAACCTTAGCTTTTCCTCAATGTTTTGAACATATTGAGAGGCAGGACAACAGGAAACAGTTAATAGTCACAGAGATGTTTGAATCTCTTGAAATTTACAGAGTACTTTTAAAAAATACTTCCCAATACTATCAGAAAGTGTGCTGGAGTGTTGATGTTCTCTATCAGGACGTGAATTTACTGGCTACTGTAAAAAGAACACACAAAACCTCCAAATGAAGAGCCACCAAGATGATTAAGGGAAATGATGAAGGGAGTGGAGCATCTCCCTTATGAGGAAAGGCTGAGGGAGCTGGGGCTCTTTAGCTTGGAGAAGAGGAGACTGAGGGGTGACCTCATTAATGTTTATAAATATGTAAAGGGCGAATGTCAGGAGGATGGAGCCAGGCTCTTCTCAGTGATGCCCAATGGTAGGACAAGGGGCAGTGGGTGTGAGCTGGAACACAGGAGGTTCTGCTTAAACTTGAGAAAAAACTTCTTTACAGTGAGGGTGACAGAGCCCTGGGACAGGCTGCCCAGGGAGGGTGTGGAGTCTCCTTCTCTGGAGACATTCATGACCCGCCTGGTCGCCTTCCTGTGTGATCTCATTTAGGTTCCTGCTCTGGCAGGGGGATTGGACTGGATGATCTTTTGAGGTCCCTTCCAATCCCTGACATTCTGTGATTCTGTGAAATGAAACAACCTGCATCATATCTTCTAGTTGTCCTTGTCATCTATGCCAAAAGGTCCGTCTTGCTTCCTGTTAAAGTTTTGGAAGGGAAGCAAATGGATTCCCATCCCTGAAAAAGGATGCAAGCTCTCCACGTGGCTACTCACAAAAAGTCCTTTAGACAGCTGCTTCATTTACTATTTATGCAGCACCTAAAAGAAAGTGTGAGACAAATGGGAGGAAGATGCCAGGCAAAACAAACAGTTCATCCTGAAAGCAGAAGACATATGGGTGGTTGGGTCGACACGCTGGAGGGAAGGGATGCCATCCAGAGGGACCTGGACAGGCTGGAGAGGTGGGACTGTGCAAACCTCATGAAGTTCAACAAGGCCAAGTGCAAGGTCCTG